GAGTCTCCTGCCTCCACCTCCCAAGTAGCTGGGACCACGGGCACCCACCACAATGCCAGGCTATTTTTTGGTTGCAGCCATCATTGTTCTTGGGTGGGTCCGGGCTGGATTCAAACCCATTACCTTAGGTGTATGTGGCTGGCACCTTAGCCACTTGAACCACAGGCACAGAGCCAGTTGAGTGAAATTTTATATTAAAAGCCTAGAACAGTTTCTGGCACAATAAATACTAATCAAGGAAATGCAAAAATAAAACAAATTTAAGTGATACTGGGGCCAGGCACGGTGATTCATGCCTGTAATTCTAGCATTTAGGAGGCTGAGGCAGGTGGATTGCTTGAGCTCCCAGGTTCAAGACCAGCCTGAGCAAGAGTCAGAGCCCATCTCTAAAAATAACTGGGCATTGTTGTAGTCCTAGCTGCTGGGGAGGCTGAGGCAAGAGAATTGTTTAAGCCAAAAGTTTGAGGTCTCTGTGAGCTAGGATACCATGGTACTCTAGTGAGGGTGACAAAGTGAGACTCTGTCTCAAAAAGGAAAAAAAAGTGATAATTGTTTTTTGGGTTTTTTAACACAGAATCTCAGTCTCCGGGTAGAGTGGTATGGCATCGTAGCTCTTGGTAACCTCAAACTCTTGGGCTTAAGCAATCCTCTAGCCTCAGCCGCCAAGTAATTGGGACAGTAGGCACCCATCACAATGCCCAGCTAGTTTTTCTATTTTTAGTAGAGATGGGGTCTTGCTCTTGCACAGGCTAAGCTCAAACAGTCTACCCATCTTGGCCTCCCAGAGTACTAGTATTACAGGTGTGAGCCACTGTACCAAGCCCATATTGTTATTCTTTAAAAATATGTAAATTTATAATGCCCAGTGATGATGGCATTGAGATGAAAATTACATAGCATACTATTTGTGGCATGGAGAATTGGTAGTGTGTAAAATGATGGTGATGGTTAGATCTGACTCGTGGTTGTCACTACAACTAAATTAATTTAAGACATACCTATCATATAATAAACGTTCAGTATGTTAACTGCTGTGATTAGTAATTGAAACTATGGCAGTATAAAAAGAAGTGGTGTTCTTCAAGCCCTTTTACCAGAGTTATCGTATGACTCAGTTTTCCAGGGCAGTCCCAGTCTTGACCAATGAATAGCATCCTCATTCATTCTTACATGTATCCTAATTTGGATATTTCACTGCCTTTTACCCAGAAATCCTACTCCTGCAAATAATTCAAATAAATAAATAAAGACATTTGTACACAGAGATAATTCTTTGCTGGAATATGAATAATGGCAGAAGACCGCATGTAACTAAAAAAACTCAATGTTTCTTAAATCCTCAGAAAAAATACTATTTATTTATAAAGATTGTGTAAGTTAAGATATGTAAGCATGGGCTCAGCGCCTGTGGCTGAAGTGGCTAAGGCACCAGCCACATATATACCAGAACTGGCAGGTTCGAATCCAGTCTGGCCCCTGCCAAACAACAATGACAACTACAACCAAAAAATAGCCAAGCGTTGTGGCAGGCACCTGTAGTCCCAGCTACTTGGGAGGCTGAGGCAAGAGAATTGCTTGAAACCAGGAGTTAGAGGTTGCTGTGAGCTGTGATGTCACGGCACTATCCAGGGCGACAGCTTGAGGCTCTGTCTGAAAAATAAACAGCCACTAAAATTCAGGAAATGATAGGACCTCAGGCAGCAGTGGGGGAAGTGCCCAATTATGCAGCCAAAGTGAACCTTCTTTCTAGGGATTTATATACTACTTTTCCTATTCTGTGGGTAGGGTTTAAATTTTTATATTTACACAAAACATTATTTAAAGGAACAATTTAATATTGTCTCTACCACCTACTTAATGCCTGGTACATTAAAGAACCTCATTAAATGGTTGGTGGGTTGATGGAAATATTTAAGAACAAGGCTTGTTCTGAGGAAAGCTGACATTTCTTAAAGAAAAGCTGTCTTTAGGATGATTGTTTTTGATATTTTAGCAAAATGGGCCGTGATGTATTCAGGGACTTTTCTTTTCTTTAGGATTATATGCGTCAGGCAGGAGAAGTGACTTATGCAGATGCTCACAAGGGACGCAAAAATGAAGGGGTGATTGAATTTGTATCTTATTCCGATATGAAAAGAGCTTTGGAAAAGTTGGATGGAACTGAAGTCAACGGCAGAAAAATCAGATTAGTTGAAGACAAGCCAGGTTCCAGACGACGCAGATCCTACTCCAGGAGCCGGAGCCATTCAAGGTACTGTTGATGGTTTTTTATGGGTTGGAGCTCACACTGCATTCATTAGAGGTGATTCATTTATGTTCCCTGTTGAGTTCTCAGTAACAAGAATCCATCTGGTTCAATAACTCAGGACTTTGAACATTTCTTTGTAGAACTCTTGAACTATTATGTCATGATTACAAATAAAAGTAAAGTCCTTTCTCTGAGGTAGGAATCAGGCTTTCTTTCATGTTTCTTCTTACGACCCACAGCTCGTACCCTGATTGGGACTTATATGGCCACTGTGTCTTAGTTACTCTCCTAGATACGCTACCTACTCAGGACTCATAACTTGGTCTTGTTTGCAGCAGCCCTGCAAACAGGCCAGAGTTAGCAATGGCTTCCCTAAGGACATGTTGCAGAAGCTGAACCCTGAAGGATAAGTCAGATGGTGGACAGAGAGAGAAGCCCTTTTAGCAGAAAAGGACTTTTTTTTTGCAGTTTTTTGGTCAGGGCTGGGTTTGAACCTGCCACCTCCAGCATATGGGACCCGTGCCCCACTTTTTTGAGCCACAGGCACCGCCCAAAAAGGGCAATTTTGAAGGCCTTCGAGGTAGGAGAGAGTTTCCCAGAATAGAAAGGCTACTTACAGGAAAGGAACAGGATAGTGGCTTCAGATAAGGCAGAAAAGGACCAGATCACTCTGAGCCTTGGGCCAGGGCAAGGATACAAGAATACAGAGAAATTGTTGGAGACTTTTAAGTTTTTCAGGTTTTGTTGCTTTGTTCTTAATTTGTTGTTATGGGAAATTTTCCAACATACAAAAAAGCATTGGAGAAAATCAGTTACTAAACTCTGAATCTCATTATGCCTATCACCCTTCGAGCTTCAATAATTTTTATTGTTCTAATTGTTTTATCACGTCCTCTTGCTACTTTATTTTAAAACAAGTCTAGACATCCTGTCATTCTACCTGTAACTACTTCAGTATGTATATGTAATTTTTTTCTTTTCTTTTGGAGACAGAGTCTCACTCTGTCACCCTAGGTAGAGTGCTATGGTGTCATCATAGCTCACAACAACCTCAGTTTCTTAGGCTTAAACAATCCTCTTGCCTCAGCCTCCCCAGTAGCTGGGTCTATAGGCATGGGCCACAATACTCAGCTAATTTTTCTGTTTTTAGTAGAGATTATGTCTTGCTCTTGCTCAGGCTGGTCTCAAACTCCTGAGCTCAAATGATCCACCCACTTCGGCCTCCCAGAGTGCTAGGATTACAAGTGTGAGCCAACCCTGGGCCAACACAGTTCTTTTTTCATGTCTAACAACATTTACAGTAATTCCATCAAATCACCTAATGCGTAGGCCATATTTATATATTCCTCAGTTGCTCCATGGATCTGTATAGTTATTTTTTCACACCAACGATCTAATCCAAGTCATATACTATAAGAGGGTTTTGGGTTTCTTTAGTCTGTAGCAATCCCCTCTCATCGCCTCATGACATTTATCTTTCTTAGCTTTTATAATGCAGTTTCACATGCTGTATTTATCTGTTTATTTATATCATTAAACTTGTATCTTATCCCCTGAGCTTTCTGTAAACTGCAAGTTAAGTCTGAAAGGATATGATTAAGATGCAACTTAAACACAAGCAAAAGCCTTTCATAGGTGATGGTGCCCAGAGGTTTTGAAAGTGTTCCTTTTTCCATCGTGATGAGATGACTTAGGCCCATCTTACACATTTACCCTGAAATCAGTGATTTCCCCATGGAAGTGTAGGTTGCTTTTGGTAGAAAATAAGTCTACAATCTGGGCTTTTTGAAGTTTGGAATGTCTTTCTAAAACAGCTGTCTAGTTGCAGAGAGGTACATAGATAGTTAAGCACAAAAGTATATGCAGAAAGGCTCTCTGGGGAATTGTTGTGGTACCAGAGGAGAGGTGATATGAGACTTGCCAGGGAGGCAGCTGCCAAGGTGGACAGACTAGGAGAGATTGGGAGGTAGGCACATCAGTATAGAAGGGGACGAGAGAAGAAGAGTCAAAGATGGCCATGGTTTCTAGTATGTAGCATCAGTGGAAATAAGTAATCCAGCAAAAAGAACGGGTTGTGGGGAGAAGTTAGGGTTCAGGATCAGAGGTGGTGAGGGATTCAGGTGACCATCTAGAGAGGCCTGCAGATGAATGCATCTGTAGGGCTGGAACATATGAGAGTTTGTGCCTGGACTCAGGCAATACTAGAGGAGTTTTTTTTTTATTTGTTTTGTTTTATTTTTATTTTTGTTTTTGCCGTTTTTGGCCAGGGCTGGATTTGAACCCACCACCTCCAGTATATGGGGCCGCGCCCTATTCCTTTGAGCCACAGGTGCCACCCTGTTTTGTTTCATTTCTGAGACAGAGTCTCAAGCTCTTGACCTGGGTAGACTGCCATGGCGTCATAGCTCACAGCAACCTCCAACTCAGGCTCAAGTGAGCCTCTTGCCTCAGTTTTTCTATTTTTCTTAGCGACAGGCTATTGCCTTTTCTCAGACTGGTCTCAAACAAACCTGTGAGCTCAAGCAGTCCACCCACCTTGGCCTCCCAGAGTGCTAGGATTACAGGTGTGAGCCACTGCGCCTGGCCCCAACTATAGATTTTTTTTGGTGGGGGGAGCGGGGCTGGGTTTGAACCCGCCACCTCTAGTATATGGGGCTGACACCCAACTCCTTGAGCCATAGGCACCGCCCAATATTTTTGATTGGAAGGTTGTCTTGGTTGACTCTAATCAGCTAGCCCTTGTCAGCAAGTATTGAAAAAATTTTTCTCCGCCTAGGTCTCGCTCTCGAAGCAGACATTCCCGTAAAAGCAGAAGCCGAAGCGGCAGCAGCAAAAGCAGTCATTCTAAGAGCAGATCCCGGTCCAGGTATGTCTTCCTTGTGTGAGTGGACGAGGTCAGCAGGGAACACTTGGGCGCTGTCTCGCTTTCTGTTGTTTTGTGTGGGGTTTTTTTGCACTTTCGTTTTTGAATCCTTTCACTTTGATTTTAATTGTGTGACCAGGCTTCGCTTACACCAGCTTTTCCAACTCAAGGAGTTGGGTGTTCAGAAAACAATCCTCAGCCAGTGCCAGCTGGGCATAGTATTGGGGGCAGTGTTCCACACTCCCCCTTTTTGATCATTTATCTCCTGATTAGCATAAAGTTGCAAAAGGCTCAGATGACACCCCATGTCTTCTCAGGTCAGGCTCCCACTCCCGGAGCAAGAGCCGCAGCCGCAGCCAGAGCCGCAGCCGGAGCAAGAAGGAGAAGAGCAGGAGCCCCAGCAAGGACAACAAGAGCCGCAGCCGCAGCCGCAGCCTGGGCAAGAGTCACAGCAAGAACAAAGACCAGGCTGAAGAGAAGATCCAGAACAACAACAGCACCGGCAAGTCCAAGAGCCGGAGTCCTAGTAGGCACAAAAGTAAAAGCAAGAGTCGGAGCCGGAGTCAAGAGCGGAGAGCAGAGGAGGAGAAGCGGGGGAGTGTGAGCAGGAGCAGGAGCCAGGAGAAGAGCAGGAATCAGGAGAAGGGCCTCCTCAAGAGCCGCAGCCACAGCCACAGCCGGAGCCGCAGCCGTGGGGGCAGCAGGAGCCGCAGCCGCAGTAAGAGCAAGGACAAGAGCAAGAGCAGGAAGAGAAGCCGGGAGGAGAGCCGCAGCCGCAGTCGCAGCCGCAGCAAGAGCGAGAGGAGCAGGAAGCGGGGCAGCAAGCGAGACAGCAAGGCAGGCAGCAGCAAGAAGAAGAAGAAGGAAGACACCGACCGCTCACAGTCGCGATCGCCCTCCCGCTCAGTGTCAAAGGAGCGTGAACACACCAAGTCCGAGTCTGGCCAAAGGGAAGGCCGAGGGGAGAGTGAGGATGCTGGCACCAATCAGGAGACCCAGTCTAGGTCAAGATCGAATTCCAAATCGAAACCAAACCTTCCGTCAGAATCACGCTCCAGATCAAAGTCAGCTTCAAAACCCCGATCTCGGTCCAAGTCTCGATCCAGGTCTGCTTCCAGGTCAGCCTCCCGGTCTAGATCTAGGTCCCACTCAAGGTCCTAACTGGCTACGACCACAGCTGGAACTACCCAAGAAGTCTTTTGTACATGTTTGGTAGCCGTAGCACAAGTGATTGAAGTAGAACATGTCACTGCTGTACATTTTTAACTCCCCTAATGGTGTGTCTATAATTGTTAAATCTAAGTGCTTCCTCTCAGTAAAGCCTCCTGGCACCAGGCCTTCCTGCTCGACTGAAAAAAAGTTTCTCTTTGAAAACCCCCCTTTACTCATGGCCCACAGTAGAATATCCAAAACGCCTTGGCTTTCAGGCCTGGCCTTTCCTACAGAGAGCTCAGTACCTGGACGGCACTAAGGCTGGAATGATGACATAGGTAGGTATGGTGAGTTCAACCATTTTTGCTCTTGAATTGATGCCCTTTGATGTATGCCATTTAGTGAAAGTGCTAAGTCTTAAGTTTCCTACCACTTTGGTTTCATATTTTTGGACTTAACAAAGTTGTGAATAGCACAGTCGAGGAAAATTGATACCTGCAGTAACCCATAGGAAATAAACTGTAGAGTTCCATATTCTGGTATTGTGATTATATTGTTTTATATTAAAAAAGAAAATAAAAGAATTTTTTTTAATTTTATTTTTCCCCGTCTTGCAAAGTATAGTGACCCCTGTTTCCATTAAATTTGAATAAAGACTATTTTTGCTTGACAAAATTTCATGGTGTTTGAATCAAAGTTGCATTTCCTGATACAGCGTGATACTTCTTTTTGTAGCATAAAAAGTTCATGTGTAATGGCTGTTTTGTTCCTTGGGATCGCCCAGCACTTCACTGAAGGATTTTGCTCACCCACCATAATAAAAGCACATTTCCTATTTAGGATCCTTCCTCTCTGAAGAAGCTTATGGCCAAGCTGATGAGAAATTGAAATCAGTTTGGAAACTTGGAACATTACCAGATGAGTTCCTCATGAATATAGTCGTTCTGTGCTGTTTGTTGAACCTTCCGTGAATCTACAGTTTCTTCATCTCACCATCTTAGGATATGAACTCAACAAAAACCAGAGGGAAAAACTATGCTGGATTGCTTTTGTCTCAGTCTTTCCTGTACTATCCAAGTTGTTGGGCCTAGTTCTGTAGGAGGTACTAGCCCTTGGGAAGCTATTGAGCACGATCAAAGCAGGGAGGAACTTGGAGGGCCTTCATCACACTGCTGGGGAGGAAAGAGCCACTTCAAAGAGTGTTGCCTAATGAATTTATTGGGGGCGGCATCCGTGGCTCAGTGAGAAGGGTGCTGGCCCCATACACTCAGGGTGGCAAGTTTGAACCCCCAGCTGAACTGCAATTAAAAAAAAAAAGCTGGGTGTTGTGGTGGGCACCTGTAGTCCCAGCTACTTGGGAGGCTGAGGCAAGAGAATCACCTAAGCCCAAGAGTTGGAGGTTGCTGTGAGCTGTGACACTATAGCACTCTACCAAGGGTGACAAAGGAAAACTCTGTCTTGAAACAAACAACTGTATTGGGCTCTGTGGCTCACACCTGTAATCCTAATACTTTGGGAGGCTGAGACAGGTGGATTGCTTGAGCTCAGGATTTCAAGACCAACCTCAGCAAAAATGAGACTGCATCTTTGCTAAAAACAGAAAAATTAGCTGGGTGTTCTAAAGGGGCATCTGTAGTCCCAGTTAACTTGGGAGGCTGAGGCAGTAAGATCTCTTGAGCCCAAGTTTGAGGTTGCCGTGACCTATGATGATACCACACCACTGTTCCCATAGCACAGGAAAAGATTCTGTCTCAAAACAAAAAACATATAAGGAGTTAGAATTTCATCTGGAACCAGAGAGTACTTGAGCTGAATCTTCGGGGATGTGGGTGTGGGTGTTCCTGTAGGAAGGAACATTTCTGCCAAGCTGTGGA